TGTTGAAGAGATTCCACTACAAGTTCCCGAGCCAGATACAGGCACACCGCTTGCAAAAGGGAATGTTAAAGCACTCTAAAAAATATAAAAGAGATAACATTTCCCAAACATAATAATAATAGCAAAAGTCTCATAGAATAAGAAGAAATAAATATAAAAATAGTCTCTTGCGAGAAAGAACCCTAACTATAAGAAAAAAGATAGGAAATAAACTAGAAAATGCAAAAATCCAAGTGAAATGTAATAACGGGATGATAATTGCCCGTTCTCCTATACCGCAATCGCGGGATTGACGTTTCCACGACAAACAGAATCACACCATATCAAATCTGCTGGAATCACGAAAATTGTGCTATCGGGGTTGCAAGATCAGTGTGTAGGAATGGGGCATCTTATAGAAACGGGATTATGAATCTCGTGTGGGACGCTATTGTGTCAAGGAGGTTACTCTGCCTGCTCCTAAACAAGCTATAAACACATTAAATGAAAAAGAAAGATGATGCATCACTTCTTAGGAAAGAAATATGTCTCCAAATTACACAAAAAGAGAAAATCTCAAAAATAGAAAAAATAACACATAAATAGTTAGCTAATAGAAAATAGGGGTATTTACATACAGACCACAAAATTATTTTTAATTTACATATCTAAAACATGAAGTTTTTTTTTACATGTCTACCATCCAAAACTACAAAACACGTCAAATATACCATCCAGTTGTAACTTCGTTTAATAGAAACACTAGCCAATCGTCTTCTTCTTCGAGCTCTTCGACAGAGACGAACCTCCAGCTAACTTTTCCCTCAAGAAAGAATCATCCACCACCATCCCTTTCCTACCCACAACTAAATGAGAAATCACCTTCTTCCATCCATATAACGTCAAGCAAATTAACTTGTAACACTTCTCTTCTCCAACACCTTTCCCATGTCAGCTCAGTTGCAGCATGAAGCACCTCCCTTAAAGATTTGAGAACTCTGTTCAAGGCAAATATTCCACAAGGCTTACCGGTGCGGAAGATCACTGAAGCTTGTAAAGAAAAAGTGGGAATCAAAGTTTTTGGGGAACCACCCTACACAATCTTGACATAGATGCGGTGAGAGGCTCTGAAGCTAGATTTGGGTTGATGAGATCGAATTCTGCGGCGGGAAATGAAAGCACGTGGATAAATTTGGGTTGGAAAAGAAATGGAAACGCCATATAGCGACAACAAAGGAAGAATTTTGGGTGCAGAGGAATGTGCAACATCTTTGTATGGTCACTGCCAAGGTCAGACTTCCTCAAGGAGCTTGACGGGCTAGTGTTTCAATTTAACAGAGTTATGGTTGTGTGGTATATTTGACTTGTTTGGTAGTTTTCAATGGTAGGCACATAAAAAGCAAACTTTAGGTGTTAGATACGTAAATTATAAAGAATTATGTGGTATGTACGTAAATCTCCCAAAAAAAATAACCCTAAATAGAAATTAAAAATAGAAAATAAACCAAAAAAAAGTAAAATTCCCTAATGAAGATGCGAACGTGATGGGAGATTTAAATCTTGTGGTATTACGGAATTCCACAACCGGACAACACTAATATTCACAAAAATCTTGCTATCGAGACTATAGTGGGACGTGATTTGTCCTGCTTCGATCCCTCAACGCGAGATCGCAGGATGCTGGAGCTCATCCCGTCAAAAACCTTACAAGAGAAATCTACAAATAGTTCTAAACTAACTTCGGGCTTCTTTATTGATTCAAAAATTCTCTTTAATATTAATGAGCCAAATATGTTTAGGAGATCTTTCACTGTGGTCCAATATCACCAAAAAAAATAATAGAAAAGTTTACATACCTAGCACACAATTCTTATGTATTTACATATTTCACACATAAATTCTCATATTTACATACATAGCACTAATTTACATACATAGCCGCTAGTGAGCACATTTTACATTGAATTCAAACCAAACAAGAAAATATATAGTCCTACATTTATTTTACAAACAATTCTAAACTATTATAAATATAACCAAAACAACCCTTTAGCCAATTTCTTGTATTCCTTCTCAATGCATGGTGGTATTATAACTCCATATTCTTGGATTTAGGAGGCCTTAGTCCCTTAGAAAACTATTTTCTTTAGCAGTACTTTCCAATCAAATTTTTTTATCTCATTTGGGCTTCAATAACTCTACATTGGTATTGTGAAATTCACAATCCAAGGATGATTCTCATATATTCATCAACTATAAATTATCCTGTAGTGTCAGGATGCATCTAATCACCTTTTAGGGCTTCCAATAATTATATTACCTTCAACTCTAATAGAGACTTTAATTTAAGACAATGCTAAAGATGTTTGAAACATTTCTTCCACTCAGCTATTTAGAGCATTTTTGGAAGGAAAGGAACAATAGATGCTTTTCTAATCCAATCAAGAATGACAAAAAATTTTGGTTCAACGCTATCTCAAGCTTATTTTTGGATGGAATATAATCATGGAGACAAAATACATCGATGATTGTAAAAAAAACGAAGAGATTTAAACCTTCCCAGCAAGCCTCTCGCTCTTTCTGTAAGTACTGCTTAGCGATACATTTTTTTTAAACGATTTATCTTACAATTCTATTTTGTATCCTTTTTATTTCTATTAACAAGAAAGGGTTTTTATATAAAAAACAAAAAAAAATAATAATGCCCGGAAATATAAATTCACAGACTTTAGCAGCTGATCATTAGTGATAAGCAGTTGAATTTTCTGACGAAACAACTAGAATATAAGCCCTAAAAAAGGATTGACAGGAGGATTGCCGTCATATTGACCAACCTAAGCCACAGATTAGGGGTGTAAACGAACCGAACACGAAAGAACAAAGCTTGTGTTCGTGTTCGGTTCATTTAAAATTTAGTTTGTTTGAAATAAGCTCGTGTTCGTTTCTTAACGAACGAGCCGAA